AAATCGTCTCAAGAGGATTTTACAAAAGACCTGGCATTCACCATGCTCTGGTGTCTTCAAACTCTTAGAGAGATTCATCAAATCTCGACGTGATTGCCCCAGATTGACTGTAGTCGGCACCACAAAGTTTTCGAATTTTTGCCCCAAACGAGCAAACAAGTCGGGAAAAGCATTAATTGGGAGGAGCAACATGTTCGTGCTTAAGGTCTTCATGTGACACGCCCCTGGATATGATTTTTTCTTGACGTGATCCGCCAATTACTCAACATAGTTTCAAGCCTTAAGAATTTACTCATCATTGGTGCTTATATGTGAGTTTCCTTGATATCAAACAAATGTTTTGCAGTTAGAAAATTTTATTATGAGAATGAAAATTCTAATGCAACAGTTATGTAAGTCTTGAAGATTTTGAAAAGATATCGCACAAATTTGCGAGTTAGAGCATCATTTATTTTTGTATAGGAAGAACATATGATACCAACATAACTATTTAGAACATTCATGGGAGTCAGGAACACTATCTCATTGAAGTATGATTTCAAAATAACCTTGCTTCAATTAGGACTTTTGAAGGTTGTAATGTGGTCTGGTTCATGGTTTTAGAAAAAAGGACTTAAGGCTCAAAATATTTGGTGCCCACCCCCTTCATGATGTTCTCCAACCCTATGTTCAGTTAATTCAACATGAGTGTTCATCTCTCAGAAGGATTTCGTGACAGTCAAGGAAACGACGAGGCTTTCGGAGTAGAAACCAACCTCATGTCTTCGTGTTTGTAGTCACCAATTTATTCTTTGCTGAGGACTTTTCTTTGCAGTCCTTTTCTTTGCAATTTTTATTTTTCCCTAACTTTTGCCTGAACTAATTATTTTGAATTGATAGTCCAGCGGGATGTCTTAATTTTGCCTAAGTCACACGTTTTCAAGTTTTTTGACTTAGCAGGCTTTTTCTTTTTCTCGATTTTTGACTTTTTGAACAAAATGTGTGACATTAGCTTGTCTTTGCTTGTTGAGAAGATTGTGATTTCCTCGTTTCTTGATGAATGAGGGATAACATTGTAGTTCCACATCCTCTAGATTCATTATACATGAAAGATAGCCCTCGTAGTTTCTCTTCAAAAAACATCTTCCTTATGAATTTTGAACACTCAGTCAGATTAACTAAAAACTACCCTGCCCCAGGTTAAAATTCAAGGTTTTTTCGTATAGAAAATAAACTTCTGCTTCAAAGGCTCAAAAGGGGTTAGCAAGGGATTATCTTCCTTATATCTCCAGTGTTTAGGGATTTGAAACAATGCCTGTACATCGTCAACAAGATTTTATCCAAAAGCATACAACCAGAGATTTTGTGTTTTTTAGATCATCATCCTCCCCTCAATCTCTGCCTAGGCAAGAGAATGAGCAACAATTTGGTATCATAGTGCAAAAGCAATTTAAAATTTGAAAACAAATATGAGTGAAACGAATGAATTTCTTCAAGACAAACATACTCATTGTATTAAGATAATCATTCAGATGCAAACAAGTTCTTACATGCAAACAATGTTTTGATAAACAAGAAAAATTACAAAAAGCATAAATAAGTTAATAATCTGGGAAGGCTTTCCATCTGGACTTGAATTACCGAAAACATCCTTCAAAAATCAAAGTCACCATCAATCGTGTTTACTCTTCGGCGCATGCTTGATTTGAACTTCAAAACCAATGTCCTTGAATGACAAGATACCACTTCTGACCAACTTCTGAACCTCAATCTTCAAAGCAAAGCAACCCTCCAAGTCATGCCCAGGAGCACTTTGATGAAAGGTACAAGCCAAATCAGCTTTGTAGTACCAATGTATCTTCTCAGGAACCTTCGGTGGAGGTCGGGTCTGAACCAAATTCCTCTGCATCAGGATAGGGAACAACTCTGTATAGGTAATTGGAATTGGATCAAACTGGGTTTTCCTCTGATTAGGAACTTGCTGATTTTGTTGATGAATAGGAGGAACATGATGATTTTGACGATGAATATTTCTTCCTATGGCTCTCTTCTTGGAAAAGTTATTATCAAACATCTTCACACCATTAGCTGAGCTACCATCTTCATATGAACATCCCTTCCCAACATCTACTTCTAGACGCACTCCCATATTCACCTTGTCAGGAAAGTCATTAGGTGCATTATCCATCACCTTCTCACGAGAGAATTATTTTAGAGTTTCAGTGAATACTTTTATCATCGCTTCCTCCCTCCTAGAAGGATTGACTTGGGCGGCAACCAGAATTTCAACCAAACCAGTTAAGTGCTCCATACTAGCTTTCAAAATAGTCATCTCTCTACGGAGTTCAGAAACCTCTTGCTTGATATTCTCCATTATCCTCTTAGCGCGAGTGTTGTACTAGTGAGACCAAAGGAAAAAATAAGACTTGGAAAAAGACCTTTGAAAGTGAAACAAAAAACATAGAGTGATGCATGATATGCAAAAGAGAGTTTTTATCTGACTTTCAAGGAGCTCAAGATATTAAGTTGTAAACATCAAAGTATGAAGATTGGATCAAAGCGTTGATCAAGTTATCATCAAGATCAATCATCCATTTTGGTGGATTAGGGTTTTCACCCTATCAACACCCAGGATCCATTGAGATTGGCGAAACTTGTGATGTTTACAAAGAAAGACCTCCAAATTCCTTGAAAATCAAGTGAAAAGGGTTTTATGGATGCATGAATGCATGGCTATGCAAAAACCACAAGCAAGGTCACAAATAAAGTCGAAAGGTTCAACGTCACGAGCATGGAGTTAAAGGTAAAGAACATCCCCAAGGTATGTACTAACGGTTTAATCACACCTGCAAGACAAGGTTCTAAGAGTTCCCGGAGTCTACATTCCTCCTTCGGATATTACCAACGTCTTGATTACTCAATAATCAGCAATATTCTCAAGAGAAACTCATCCGAGCGTAGAATCGCGTAACAATTATTTCTGGATTACTCCGTTATAATCTCCGCGCTACACCTAAAAGGCCAAGATGGGTTATGGTTTTACGGTTCCCAGCTTCTCTGGCTCCCAGGTCAAAAATAATAATGTATTCCCGATTACTCGGTAAACAAATATTACGTTCAAAAGGGCCTTCCGCTGAGTGGGGGATCTCATGCCTCCTTCTTCGGGATTACTCCCTCAAAGTTAACATGAATATACCGCCCGTCCTATTCCTAAGTGTAACTTAGTCCGGGTATAGGACTTGTCCTTTGTAAATATTATCAACACCCAAATAATCATAATATATACATATAATCAAACAATCAAACAATGATAAAACAGATAAAACAAATTAGGCTTAACCCACTTAGGGATGGACCAACAAGAGGTCAATCTTTCCCCAGCAGAGTCGCCAATTCTGTAGCGATGAAAATCGGAGATCAAGCTATTAATTAACTTGACTCGCAAAAGCAAGAGTCGCCACCGCGCTTTATTATTTCCAAGGGAAAAGGGAAAAGAGCGAAATAAAACCCTAAAATATGCAATGTAAAATAATACTTAAAAGTAATAAAAATACAATGCGTTTTTTGAAAGAGATCGAGAGTTCGGGGGTTGGTTATACAATGGGAAGGTATTAGCACCCAATGCATCTACGGTACTCCGCAGGAACCTTTTGAAATATCTGTTTTTTGGTTAAAAAAATTTTTGTTTGATTAAAATGGTTTGTTTGGCTAAAAATAGGTGCGGACTAGATTTTGAAGATACGACGACCTAGTGTCGATGTTTTGGCTAAAAAGGTGTGAATTTGAAAATTGAGTTTTTAGGAAAATTAACTTAAGATTAACAAAATAGTAAAACAAAATGAATGAAGGGACTCGCGCGATCGTGTAAGATATATTTGATGACATGAAGTCAACAAAGTTAAAATATTTCCTTTGGAATAAATCGACTAAGCAAAATAAAATGAACATCAAAATATAAATATTCAGAAGTTCACAAGAAAATAAATCTGACAAAAACAAATTAATGATCAAGAGGCACCAAGAAATTGAAATGACAGAAATATACAAATAAAAGGAATATAACTAATTATCTAAAGAAGTTATTCGAACTAAATTAAAAGTTACTTACTAAAATAATTCTAAACTAATTACAAATTCTAAGGTTATAAAAAAAATCTAGTATTATTGAATTTGATCTAAACTGAACTAAAGTTTTAAAATTTAGTAAGTTAAATCTAGATTAAATTAAAATCCTAAGGTTACTAAATTAAATCTAAAACAAATGAAAATTCCAAAGTTACTAAACTAAATCTAAATCAAATAAAATTCTAAAACTACTAAACTAAATTTAAATCAAATAAAAACTCTAAAGTTATTAAACTAAATAAAAATTATAAACTTATTAAACTAATTCTAAATCAAATAAAAAATTATAAATTTATTAAACTAATTCTAAATCAAATAAAAATTCTAAAGTCACTAAACTAAAACTAAACAAATAAAATTCTAAAGTTAACTAAATAAAATTCTAAAGTCACTAAACTAAAACTAAACAAATAAAATTCTAAAGTTAACTTAAATAAAATCAAATAAAATTCTAAAGTTATTAAACTAAACTAAAACAAATAAAAATTCTAAAATTTACTAAATGAAATAAAATTCTAAAGTTATAAAATAAAACTAAAACAAAATAAAATTCTAAAGTTATTAATTATGATTCTAAATATTTTAAAGTTATAAAATAAATCTAAACTAATTAAAAAATTCTAAATTAATACTAAACTAAATCTAAATATAAGATTTACTAATATTTTTTTTATATTTTTTTTTAGTGTGAATAAACGATAACACATTCCAAAATCCCAATTCAGAATTCTTGTTTCATCAAGAAAAGAGTACATGAATGACACCATTTGGTACTACTACTAAGCTTAACAAACTTCAAACAACAGTCACAATCCTTAAACCAAAAAAAAACTTACTTTATAAACAACCTCCCCTTGTTTCTGCCGATGCATGCGCGTGCGTGATGCTCTTTTTAACTAACGTGAAGCCAAAGACCAGAAGTTCAGCAGAAACGACGGCACTGTAGTGAACCAACATATGAATGCCATGCCTGTAGCTGTTTCAAACTGCACACAATGGTTATATGAACAATTATCAAGATCGTTATCGATGAGCACCGTGATACCTGTCGATGCACATGATGCCGCGAACATAAGCGTCGAAGTTACCCCATCGCCGATTGTAAATGCACAGACAAGTCGGTAGTTCTGCAAATACCGTCTTACTAAAATGGAATATATGTCAGTAATAGCTAACAAAATGCTCCATAGAGTCTGCAACCCGGCAGCCGCAACAAGGAAACAGAAAGCAGTGACCGAAGGAAAATCATTTGTGGAGGCTATAATAGAGAGTGCAGCAGCACCAAAAACAAACTGTGAAACCCTTAAAGCCAAGCCACCAACAGTACCAGGCATCCCCTGAATATCCTTCATCCTCACGACCATAGGCACGTTAACGTTTTGTTGTTCCGCGACCGCAACACCACCATCAGTGGTTGGAACTTCTTCAACTGGGTGAACTGAAGCATGGCTCACATTCATTTCTCCACCCAACAAACACTTCAATTCATACTCACAAACCCCAAATTTTCTTCTTCACCAAATCCAGAAGAAGAATTGCAGTGAGATCTGTGTTGGAAGCAAAATGGAGAAAGATGGAAAGAAAGAGAGACGAGAGAGCGCAGCAGCACTGCCTGCAGAGAGCAGTTGTTGAATGTTGGTGGTGTTTTGTTGTAACAGTAGCGAGGGAGAGAGATGGATTGGAGAGTTGGTTTATGTGGTTGTTTTTTGTGAATGGTAGTGGAGAGATTGTGAAGGAGGTTTCGGACAGTAACAGGGGGTGGAAGGTTGAGATGGTTTACTGCTGGATTGATGGTAGGTTAGTTGTAGAAATTGAAGATGAAGGAGGATGGGCGGAGGTTACAGAGTTGGACTGAAATTGATGGAGGATGGGTTATGGTGATGGTGATGAAAAGCGATTGGGGAGTGAAAGATGGTTAATTGAAGGAGGTGAATGGAGTTTGGCGTGGTGAGGTGTATGTTGTATGTTTGTTGTTATTTCATGGGGGGTTGATGAAAGGTGAACATAGGTGGAAAGTGTATTGGAGAAAGGAAGGTTCCTGAGTGAAGAAATTAGAGGGTGTTAGATAGAAGATGGGTTCAAATGTTACTGTTGGTGTATTTTTTGTTGTGTATATAAGAAGAGAGGAGAGGTTACTGTGTATTGAAAGTGAGTTGTGTTTTTGGTGATTTTGTATCGATCCTCAATTTCATCCAACAGCCAATAAGAATAGAGTATTGTGTGAATAATATATTTTGTGATCAAATAGTCCTTAAATGATAAAAATAACCAAAAAAACTAAATGTATTAAAATTAACTCAATTTAAAATGATTTTTTTTGAATATTTTATGAATAAAAAATAAAGACCCAAAATGACCGAAAATGATAAAAAACGGACGAAAATTTATCCGAAAAAATAAAATGAACACATTAAAATAATCTACATGTCACAAAGATTAAAGAAAAAATATTCAAGAAGTCAAAAATCAAAAATAAAATAATAATAAAAATATCAGACTAAACAGACGTTTAAGGTTAAAAACGAGACTTCGAACTGTACCGAAAAAATAAAGCGAGCATACCGTCATAATTTACGCGAAGCGCAGATTCATAAAATGATCGGTAAAAGGTGAAAACTTGAAATATTTTCTCGCTACTTTCCCGCATAGTGTCGAATCGCTTTTAACAGTTTGTCTATAAAACCGACATATTTTATTATCGACATGTAAACAATTTGGAGCAGTGCAAGAAAATAGTAAACAGATAAAAATGAATGAAATGAAATGTCGGGTATTTTACAACTGAAAGACGATGCAAACTTTGATTTAAACTGACTTTTTCTGGTCAACTTAAATACGACTAATGATGCAAAATGTGATGAATGAAGATATTTACTAATGATTGTGACTAAATAACAAAATATGATATGAAAGTGCGACTAAAACATATTAGGGGCGAAATTTAGGGTGCGACAGTTGTGCCTTGATGAATCAGTCTTTGAGAATCCATAATCAACCGTACTTCTGGCTTGGGAGACTCAAAACCTTAATTGAGGCGCGACACCTGATGCTCTTGATTCAGACCTGTCTCTGCATATGAAACAAAAGAAAACATGAACATACACCTTTGTATGCGATTAGAAATTAGTGATACATAGGCTCAAAATGTTCAAAACACTTGACAATCTTCGCATAGTCAATGCTTGAAAGTGAGAGGTTAAAACCGACTGTATTTCGTGACCTTGACTTATCTTAAAAAATGCAAAAATAAAAGTGGGATCTTAGGTCAAAAATTGGGGTACAACACATACGATGGCGAAGAAAATCCTGCGGGCAGACTATTATTAGTCTACCATGGAAGCAGACTGCTATTAACACTCTCGGACCTGTCATAAGTGTCAAATTTATGTTGACAAGGTGCACGTACCTCCGGTTCCTCTGAATGTTTTGACGGCTCCTTGGCCCTTTGCTATGTGGGGAATCAACATGATTGGAGAGATCAAGCCTACAGCCTCCAATGGACACCATTTCATTTTAGTGGTCATTGACTACTTTACAAAGTGGGTCAAAGCAGCTTCCTTCGCATCCGTTACTAAGAATGTTGTTGCCCGCTTCATCAAGCAGAATCTCATTTTCCGGTATGGTATCCCAGAAAGGATCATCATTGATAATGGTACCAACCTTAACAATATTATGATCATCGCCTTGTGTGAGCAGTTCAGGATTCAGCATCACAATTCATCCCCCTATCGGCCAAAGATGAATGGTGCCGTTGAAGCTGCAAATAAAAACATTAAAAAGATCATACAGAAAATGAGAGTCACCTACAAGGACTGGCATGAGATGCTTTGGGCAACACCCTATTCTTTGGTTTATGGCATGGAGGTTGTCTTGCCTATTGAGTTCCAGATCCCCTCTTTGAGAATTATGAAGGATGCAGGTTTGAATAAGGACGATTGGATCCAAACTCAACTTGATCAACTAAACTTAATTGATGAAAAGAGACTTACTGTTGTTTTCCACGGTCAGACGTATCAAAAACGGATGATCAAGGCTTTCAACAAGAAATTCAGACGCCAAGTATACCAAGTTGGAGATCTAGTGATCAAACGCATTATCTTACCACAAAGTGATCCCAGGGGAAAATGGACTCCTACCTATGAAGGACCATTTGTAATCAAGAACATCTTCTCTGGTGGGGCAATGATCTTAACTACCATAGACGGCGACGACCTGCCACACCCTGCAAACGCCGACATAATCAAAATACACTACGCACTAGAGACCCGCTAGGTTGACACACCTAGGCAAAAAAAGGGCATCCCGACGAACCAAAAAAAAAAGGTTCGGGCAAAAATTAGGGATAAAATAAAAAATCTGTATACCTGGTGTTGTACCCCAAAATTTTCCCTCTCATGTTTTCAAAGGTCTTCCCTTACATGGTGGGTCACAAACACTTGCCTAACGAAAATAAAGTTTTTTGAAGATGAACAAAGTGTCTTTCGATTGGCATCTGGGAAAAGTCTTCGATTGGGTATCCAAAATCCTTCGACACAAGCTTGACTCACCAGTCTTCAATTGGGAATTTGGCACTCTTCGATCGGGCTTTGATTAGTAAGCTTCGATTAGGTGTTTGGAACCCTTCGATCAAGCTTTGGTTCGCAAGTCTTCGATTGAGTGCTAGAACCCCCTTCGATCAATGCTTTGACTATGCATTAACTACTTCAGGCTTACCTTCGACTCACGAGGCAAGAATCTCCTACAAGTTTGTTTCGATTCACAAAGTAAAAGGCCCCTCAACTTGCCAGCACACCAGGCAAGAGGCTCATTCAAAGAACATTCAAAAGGTCCATTTGAAGAAGCATTCAGAAGGCCCATTCGAAGGGTACATAAGAAGTCCATTCGAAGGAGGCAACTCAAGACCAATCGAAGAGCATGGCCTGGAGGCATTCGAAAACCAAAGGTGTCCAGGTTCATTCAAGATTCCAAAGAGACATGAATATTTCAAAAAAGGAAATATTTTAATATGTCTGATTCTTGTCTCATGGCTTTAAAGGCCTGGTTAAATGGTTGTCCCTTTCCATTTTCATGCACCCTCACACTCCTATAAATACGAGGCCAATGACACATTACAAGGGGACGAGGATTTTGAGAGACGCTGCCCACAAACCCATAAAAGGTTATAAACATTTTCATAAGTAATCCAAGCCAAAGAAACCATTCAACAAAAGTATCCACGCCCAGAAATCCCATATCGAAGATACCCACATCTAGATAGTTCCAAATCGAAGGTTCCAACTACTGGTAAGAGAGGGTAAAATGTCAAACCTTGTATTTACATAACACATCCATATTTGTTGTTTCATTCGATTGTCATTCTAGACAGAATCAAAGGGCTTGGGTTTGGCACCAGGTCATGTTTTTTGTTTCTAACACATGCTACAGATATAGCCTGAAAAGACCCAACGCGTGCGAGTTTGATGGACCTGGGTTTCGACACCCAGGTCATGCGTTTTATTTTGCTAAACATATTTTTGCAGATGTAGTGCCTCCACAGGTGATCCTTCAGGCCTTTCCAGCAACACCCTTCATAGAATCAAAAGGCAGCCTTCTTCCTCTGAATCGAAGCCCCCCATTCTCCCTACAATCGAAGTTTACCCATATCCTTCCCAAACCCAATCGAAGGAGTCAGGAAAGGGTGCAAATCGAAGCTTTCCCCGTCAATTCTCAAGCCCAATCGAAGGCTACTCACACCCATTCCCTAGCTCAATTGAAAGAAGGCCAAAGAAGGGTGAATCGAACGAGTCCATAGCATGGATCGAAGAAGTCTTTTCTCTTCTTTACTTTAACTTTTTACTTGTCTTTCAATTTAGTTGTAATAGTTAATTAGGTCTTTACTTTTATCGCTTTATTTTCAATGGGTTTGTTTTTGGCTATGTAAATACCCGAAGCCTTGTAATAGCGTAGTTTAATTTTCGCACTTTAAATTCCACAAATTATTAAACTGTTAGATGTATGATATTAGGATGCATGACAAGAATGTATGATTAATTTTAAAACAGTTAGATAACCCTAAAATGTGCAAAGATAATAATCTGAAATTGAATCACTCGCACATGCCACTCTTAGGGTACGCCTCACTTGGTTGCCTCGAACGTGGTCATTGAGTATAGGATGTTTTAGAGGTCGCCCTCTTGTCCAAAGATCATAAGTTTCCTCGAAACGGTTTCCTCGGATAAAATGATCTAAGACATTAGGGTTACCACTAAGGCGTCCTAACATTTCTTTAGTGACCACACGTCCCTTAATCGAATTGACTCGAAAACTCCAACGACGATGTTACCTACTCCTCAATAGTGGGATGGCATTGTCTAAATGACATTTGTACAGATTAATTCCTTTTTCGAGTAGGTAGATGGTTCTTAAGTACTTGCTCCTTTTAAAAACAAAAACAATACTTTTCGCACTTACACTCCTTTCA